GGGGGGGGGGGGCAAGGGGGCACCGCTGTCCGCAAGGCGGCGTGTTCCGGAGAGTTGCAGTTTCAAAGATTACGGTCGGTGTGGGGGGGCATCCTCTTCCTGACCTACCACTCATGGAAAAAAGAAGGATACACATGTTTGATCAAGTTGTTGGCAATGCTACGCGGGAGTCTGTCCTTGCGATTCTTCGCGGTGGCAACCGGGTAAGCCTCCGTTTTGAGGGAAAAACTCGACACGGCAAAAACACAGCCCTCGCCACTACGGAAGTAGCCCGCCTATTATTCAACATGTAACATAACAGACCCTTCAATGAGGAGTGGGGGGTAGACTGGGCAAGATGCATCATACGCAGCTGCGCCAGGCAAAAGAGATGCGGCAGCCGTGGCAAGCACCACAGCCTTCCTCTTCTAGAGAATCCACGAGACTCCCTCAACGAGATGTTACAAGGTAAAACATATCTAGTCCGTTACTCGCCCAGGGCAACTTTGCAAACGTGCAACAGCGTGCTATACCAGCCAGCAGACGCACTCGTGCATCGACAGCCTATACGATATCGCGCGGAACGAGCCGGAAGACCACGCAACCGCCGAATACCTACGATCGTACACACATACACCTGCGAACCGCACGGTACGAGCCGCAAGGTCGCAAGTGAACACGTTTAGGTACCTTCGGCATAGGCATGAAGGCGATCGGAGGAGTGCCCGCACCGTAGCTAGAGGGAGGCGCCCCCCAGGACACCTGATGGACATGGACGGGCAGGTGATTGGAGGAATGTATGTCACGGCAACGCTACAAACGATAAGGGGGCACGCGCCTCCATTGTGTTCGCGGGAAAGGTCTGCAGCATGGATGGATGTGTACAGTAGTGTAGGGTATATAAAGGCCGTAGTAGCAGTAGCGGCAGAGGCACACCTGTTGACGCAGTGGACAAGGAGCGATGGTGCTGATCGCAACACCAAGCAGGAACGAGAAACTATGGCTGCTGCGGCCTGGGGCAACAACCAACCACCCGTTGCACAGCACGGCTAAAGCACCGATCTTGCCACAATAAAGAACTGCTGCAGCGCCCAGGGCACAGACGGCCGACGCTTCGAGTAACATACTGGCGACATGCAATGGTATCATTGACCAGGGTGAAATCTGCAGAGCATTCTGCGCCCAAGTAAGCAGCCAGGAATAATCGATTCTTGTGACCACAATGGGTTTGCGACGGGCGCCCTCGGCACATACATTAGATGGTGATGGAGAAGTTTGGTTGCACCTGTACCACCTCCTCTCCCTTACGCCTGACCCAGAACAAGCCTTCAAAAGCAGCGAACACAACCACCCTACGCCTGAGAAACACTGCTGTGGCACAGCAGTACCACTGAACTGCCTGCACGGACTGTTGTACCCCCAACCCCAACACCTACCTGAGACATTACCCCTGAGACCTGGACGTAGGTAGTCCGCTTCTCGCAAAGCTGGAAGCCTCCTTTGCTGGCCATCATGGTGGCCATGTTCCCTCCCGAGCTAGCCCCGAACAGGAACAGCGGCGTGTTGGGCGGAATGGACCTGAGCACGTCAATCCAATAGCAGAACCACGGGGTCGGGAGTGTGATTAACGCGCTGTCATCGAAGCCTTCACGTAATAGCTACGGGCCCAGAGGGGGAACTCCAATCGACCGATCAACACATACGTCGTTTTTAGGAGGACCCCCGCTAAAGCCATGACATAAACAGTGGGTTGTGCCTCTAGTCATGATAGAGCGAATAAGCCATGCGCCGAAGAAAAAATGCGATGCACTGCCGACACTCTTAATCATCTCGACGGTCGAACAGCCTCCTCCGCTTCTTGTACTACACCAGATAGCTCTATCCTATACGTTCGCCCCCATCGAACGTGGGAGCGAGATAGGGTTAGACTTCTCCCATCATTGGATTCTGTCGTCTGCCCCTCTGGCCCCTTTCCTCCACTTCTACCAGCTAGATGACCCAACCGGGGTTACATAGGAGGGGGGGGTCGGACCCCCTCCTGCGGTTCCTGCCTGAGATATTTTCATCGCGATAAGGGTACAGCAATCCCTTCCCTCGCGACTTATTAAGTCGATCAAGTCTACTAACAACGAGCATTGCAGCGCGTCGCTTCCAACGGAGACCAGGATTTGATTAGCGAGATAAAACTTACTCTGTCGGGACTCGAACCCATGACCTGGCCCTTAGCAGGCTACGAGGCNTGACCCAACCGGGGTTACATAGGAGGGGGGGGTCGGACCCCCTCCTGCGGTTCCTGCCTGAGATATTTTCATCGCGATAAGGGTACAGCAATCCCTTCCCTCGCGACTTATTAAGTCGATCAAGTCTACTAACAACGAGCATTGCAGCGCGTCGCTTCCAACGGAGACCAGGATTTGATTAGCGAGATAAAACTTACTCTGTCGGGACTCGAACCCATGACCTGGCCCTTAGCAGGCTACGAGGCTACCCACTAGACCACTTGGGCAACCGGTGTTGCGCCCCGAACGTTCGTTCCGCTCCTGTCCCATACCGGCAAGACGCCAAGACAGCTAGCTTAATCCAGCATAATGTCATCCTCCGACAACGATCATTCTATCGATTTGTTCTCACCAGTCTCTGTACCACCGCCACAGCATGGCTCTGACGAGGCTAACGTCGCCGTCCTCCGAGTTGTACTTCCAGCACCTGACACGAGACCACGGGGCGGCGTGGATACACAAACAAGGGCACAGGGACATTGGTACAGGGTGCGACGGAATGTCACCACTCGGTGGCTCACCCATTGTTGTCAAACGCGGTACACAGCAGCTGCGGTGGACATTCCGTGAGCGTACAGATACCAGTTCGTTTTATTAGCAGCGAGCCGAACAACGGCGCCGTGATACAAAATGCCGTCCCAGACAACCAATTGCCGTGCCTATCAACACGCTGGTACTCGAGGCATCGTTGCTGCTTCCCCGTCCAGCGAGCAATGACGTCATAAACCCACGAAATTCCTGGAAAGTGAGCATCACCGTCGCCCGCCTGGCTCACCCAGATACCCGGTTCTTGCTAGCCGGCGCGACGACGGCGTACCCCGCGTTCACCAGATAGCTCACGATCGCTCTTTCTTCCGGTAGATCAAACCTGGGAACAACAACACGAAAAACAGTGATCGTCAGAAGCCGCTTCATGACGGTTGCTGCATGCACCATCGACAACAAAGCCCCGAAAAAAACGAAAACCTCAAAGGTCGGAGAAAGCAGGTCTCTGCTGATGCCCTTTGCTGCCTGGGATAAGAAGCACGGGGGCTCTTCTGTACTTGAGTCTTGTGTTCCGAACTGCTCGTGGAGCGGCAAACTGTTTAGCTGCATGCTGGCGAAGATCAAGAACAAATTGATCGTGATCACAACAGTGCTGTTGTGGTTTACATACCCACACAGCCATCGACACAAACACAACGTTCCACTGCTGTGGTTCTCGCACGAAGAGTATCTCCAAATCCCGATTGAGGAGGATAACAAGGAGCACCCTCTCTTCCGGCTGACAATCGCCAGTCACTTTCTCAACAGCGGGTGCGAGCAGAGTCCTGGAAACGAAAAAACACCAGGGCAGGCAGAACGTCTAGACGACAAAAGCGGGACTATGTCGATATATCATTTCGAGCTATTCATAGTTCGGGTGGCGCACGCTCCCTATCGATTGTCCGTGGACACAACGGCTACTTCCGTCATTTCGACAAGCAGCTTTGCCCAAAGCGAAAAACGACTCACGCTCCAAGCAAAAGCGCTTGCGGGCAACAAACACACAAGAGGGGAGGTGATATCTCTAACCTATCTCCAACCTCACCAATCCATGTGGCCATGGTTGCACCCGTGAAACATGACGTACAGCCCCTTCATCGCCTCGCCTCCTCCTTCTGCATACTCCTTCGGCATCTTCCAGGCCGTTGGGACCCCCTCGATTTCCATCACCTCCGGCACCAGAGGAATTGTCGCCTTCCGGGCCCGTCTTGATGGTTGCTGGGCGGAGGCAGGGGGTATGGTTAGTTGCGGGTGCTTGGGGTTGGGCGAAAGGAGCGGACGACATCGGTGGCACGAAGATGCGGCGCACAACGCACTCGGTGCGAGGTGTGGACTAAAGAAAAGCTTGACTGTGGGGGTGGCACCGCCCTATGCTAGAAGGGGGTTCACCACCAGACGGCCCATGCCAACAGTCTTCATACCGTCTGAGGAGGGTCTGTGTCCACCACACCCCGCGAATAGCTTCTCGTCGGAGTATGATTCACGACTTCATGTGTTCGAATCGGAAGGTAGTGTGGTGGGTGTAGGTTGGCAAAGCAGGGGTAGAACGGTGGGCACACAGGGGCATAGTCTTGCCGATCTTCGCCCCCTTTCTCTTGTGTGTTGCCGCCGGGTCGTGCGCGATGCGCGCACTGGCGTTGGATAGCCATGGTCGCGTGGTTGGGTAACTTGAGTTCACGGATCCAGTTTCAGAGGGTGCATATCTTCGGTTGCGTAAAGTACCACACCCCACGACGAGGAGGATGCAAACACCAACTGGTACTGTTTTGGAAAGCTCTCGATGAGGTTCGAGCGCCGCCATCTTGGGCACCATTACTGCTGTCGTTTGAAGTCCACGTGTTAGGTATACTCATAGCATAGTAAAGATGGTTGAATGTGGGACATGGATCTACGGGGTTTGCAATTGGTAGATTGCGGAGGAACAAGGAGTTTCTCTTTGGTTTTTTTCGGAGATTCGATGAGTGATCTGAATTGCGTGACGGATGGGTGTTGTCACTTTCTCTTCGGGTCCTCGGACACGAGTGTTCTCTACTGTTCCCTCATTCCTCTAATGCAAGATTTTCCCATCTCGGCCCTCACTGGCTGAGCTGCCTTTCTCCACAAACCTACAAGCTTCGACCTACCCGGTTTACCCAACACCACGGTACCCACGCTTTGAAAATCGGGTCAAGGGTTTGTGGTGTCGTGGTATGTTCCATACGAAACCTACAGACAGCTGTGTGCTACAAGCGGGAACTTCAAGTACCTAGAGATGATTGTTCAACACCGCTCACGTTTGTTCCAGCAACGGATAGGTTCTCCACAATCATGAGGAAAAGGGTGAAGCACACGGCGGTGGATGTTGTTGTTGTTGTTGTTGTTGTTGGCTTCATGGTAGTTGTAACTACCCTAACGGTAGGAAAGACGAACGGTCTCCCCATGTTGGCACACCATTGCGACTTGTCACATGTGTGCATGTGTATGCATGTACACCGCCGGCACAGGGTCTGCGGAGATCAAGGGCATGCTCGAAAAAGGAATAAACAACCACATGGGCGAAACACCACTACGGTACAAAACGGGTGTGTCGCCGGCCATACTGCTGTTGCTGCCGCCGTCTGCCGAACCAATGGACCCGCGCATGATTGCATCTTACGTGATACCCCGTTGGGTGTGCGATAACCAATAAAAAAAAGAAAGCTCGTACCCGGCGCTCTTCCCTGTGTACCTGGATTGGGTAAATCTCAACCCCGCCCTTGACAGGCTCGCGAGGGGTGTTGCCGTACGATGTCCTAGGGCTCTCCGGCACAGGGTCCCACTCTTCAACGACAGGCTCCTCCTCTTCCTCCTCCGTTGACTGTCGTCGTTCCTCATGGACGACAGCGGTGCTGGTGCTGGTGCTGGTGGTGATGCTGCTAGAACCTCGGAGCGCTACACCCATCGTCTGGCCGTCTCGGGCAACCAGTAGGAACACCCCGTACACAAGGATGATCGCTACCATCATGACCCTCCAAGGGCTCCGGCCGACAGAGACGCTCCCGCGCTGGGCGGGCTGTGGGGACAACGAGGCCATCCTCCTGTTGGGCGTGGAGCGAAACCTTCAGGGGGCGGAGAGAAGGACAGCAGCAGTACACTGCTGTGCTGCTGCTCCCTGAACCAACCTGCTTGGGCTAGATGATCGAGCACAGTGCTAGCAGGCACGCTAGGAGATTGGAGGCCTACTAGCACGTGCTTGACACAGCAGATGGGCGCCGTGTGCTGCGCGTGTGTGCGCCAGGGGCACAGGTGTGTGATGTGTGCCCAAACAAAATATTTTCGGGCATTTTCGGTGATCGGCCACTTTTTTTCCCGGGGTGACTTTTTCCCGCAGTTCCTCAGTTTTCCCGAAATAATTCGGCTTTCTTGTTTTGGAGTATTCTTTTTTCCGGTGTTTTTTGTTTTTTTCGATGTTATTCGATGCCATGCCTACCATGGTGTTTTTGTATGGACAGCACTTCAGACAGCACTATGCTGTAGTCGGCAATCTTCCGTTTTGGTATAGGGTGGGACAGGGAGGGGGTGATGCTACTGTAGTCGAACGGTGGGACGGACGTGCAGGTCAGTTTTTGGGCACGCATACGTGCTGCAGGGATTTTTAGGTGTAGTACCTCTTCGGGCTCTTGGATACCTTTTTCTCGTTATATGCGTGCGTGTTCTTTAGATCCTAGCACTTTCGTGACCACGGGCTGAGAGTCTTTGGCTAGTTTTTGGCATTTGGCAACTGACATACGGTTTAATGTGAAGACAACAACAACAACAACAACAACAACAATGCCCGTCGTCCCGGTGGTCTAGTTGGTAACCTCGAAACCTTCTAGAGGTCAGGTCAGGGNTTAGATCCTAGCACTTTCGTGACCACGGGCTGAGAGTATTTTGCTAGTTTTTGGCATTTGGCAACTGACATACGGTTTAATGTGAAGACAACAACAACAACAACAACAACAACAATGCCCGTCGTCCCGGTGGTCTAGTTGGTAACCTCGAAACCTTCTAGAGGTCAGGTCAGGGGTTCGAATCCCGGCGTAGGCGAGCTTTTCTTGCAAAGTGAGTTTTTCTCTCGCTTCGGCTCCTGGCCTAGAGGATAGCGCTAGTTCGTGTGTACACAGAGGGAAGAGAGTGCTGAACTCTTCTCGCATTAAAAATCGAAGGCAGAGTACCGCAGGAGGAGAGGGTAGAGAGGGGCTCTTCTGTGTGACCACGGGTTGGAGTAAATCTAGTGCCGTGAGCGCTGATTTGAATCGAAGACAAAAAAAAATGTTTTCCAACATTGTCCCCCCTATTTTATGGCTACCCTCATCCCCGGGGTTTCAGTACGAACGGCGACAGCGGCCAGATGACGCAACCGTCTTGATTATTCATTACTCAGTCGTCAACTCCAGCGAACTGCGTTCACGAACTAGAAGACTCGATTCCCCGCACAAGATCCCCGTCTGATCGCCCCACACGGCACGTGCCCCACTGTCCGAACGAGAACACGGAGTCGGGAGAGAGAAGCAGCAGCAGCAGCAGCAGGCGCCCTATCTCTGCGCAAGACCGAGAGGCAAACGGGGGAAACGGGGAAAAAAAGGGTTCGGACTCGAGGGTCTGTTTCGGAACGAGAGATGGCGATGAACTGCTGATTTGCCCTCGAGCTTTCCAGAGACGATGTGGAGCCAAAGCGCAAGGCGAAGAAAACAAATCTTCCTCTGATCCAGGACAGGACCAGGTGTATCTAAATTTGTACAAGGGGGGCAGCAAGGACGACCAACAACAACAGCAGCGGGATAATAGTAAATTTGAAAAGTAGTGGATTGAAAAGAAGGGAAAAAGGAGGAGCAACCGCAGGTCTCGGGTAAGAGGAGCAACAGCAGCAGTTTCTCAAGTTGGAGCAGGAGCAACAAGGATGGCGTTCTCGAGGGCAGCTCTTGCCGCGGCCGCGGTGGTGGTCCTGGTCGCACCAGAGCCGGCGTGCGCCTTCAGCGTCGGGCCCGGTGTCGGCTCTGTACGAAACCTTCGCTCGGCGACAAGGAGGGGGACGACTTTGCCGCCAAAGCGAACGGGGGAGTCAAGCCCGACCTCGCTGTCTTCGTCGTACGTGGTCAAGCCGGAGATGGCGCGGTGCAGAGCGACGCAGTGGAGGAAGCTGAGGACGCGCGGGCCAGGCTTCGGAGAGAAGGTGCGCTAGTGTGCAGCATGCGTTAGCCGTCATCAAAAGCCTAACTACCCTCGGAGTTGGGAGATTGTCGGCTGTTTGGACCCGCCGCGGGCGCCGTTCTATTGGCCCCCCATCATGCACTCGCTCGCTTTTCGGGCACATGTAGTTCCGTGTCACACGCACCCCCCACCGGCGAGGCTAGGACGCGGATGCACCACGGCCCAAACCAGTACTAGTACATTGTGCATTCATGCGTTGTGGAGCATGCCATCCTATCCATCGAGGATTCAATCCGCAGTAGCAGCAGCTGCTGGAGAGGGTTCACCTATTCCCTGAATTTTTTTTTGGTCTCCTTTGTGTGTTTGGGCTGGCGTGGAATGTCACACCTCAACAACGGGCAGTTGAAGCAACCAAACTTAAACGTGCGAGATTCGCGCCTCCCCGTGTCTGCTCGCGCGAGCCCGCGGATGAGCAGGCAGGTCAACCTGTTATACACACGCCACCATGTTGTGTCCTTGCCTACCGTGTGCTGCTGTTTGCTCGGTTGGCGTGTGCCCTTGGTCGATACACGCGACGAAGAGGTCGTTCGCGTGCCATCGCCTGTCGAGTAGTTTTCTTCGCGTGCCGCGTTTCTTCCCGCTTCCTCCCAAAAAATAGTGCACGATGTACACACGACGATTCGACGGCAGAACGTGATTTTTTTGTGAACCAATACAAGGTACACCGTTCGGATCGTCGCAGCTTTACTACATCTCTGTCAGTGCTCGTGGTGGGAGCACTGAATGTTTAAATTAGTATTCTTCATGTATGCGAATGTATTGGTCGTTACATCGCATTTGGTCGCTGTTCCTCGTGCACGATGTTGTACGTGTACAAGTAATACCTGGCACATGCTTCCTGTGTCGACACGCAAAGACTTATTTGTCTTCCATCTCGACTACATAAGCAGCAAAAGGGAGGGCTGTTGGTTCCCGCATGAAAGGGTAAGGCAAATGCCGGTACTACAGCAGTATCTTAGCGTACAACAGCATCTAATTTGTGCGCTGTTTCTTGTGACAAGCAAGAAACCATATTTGTTCCGGACGACGTCAGATACATTTTTTTGTCTATGAAGTATCACGCGAAGCACATGCATTGCAACGAAATGTCAGGCCCCTCCCCCGTCCCCTCCTTCTGTCACTTGCACCCACTACAACTGGACTGCTCTGTTGTTATCCCCCAGGTGCGAAGGTCGAAAGCAGACCCTGACCTATCACAAAAGCTGTCAGATGGGCTGTCGTACCTCAACGCCGACGAGATGGAGGAGGTGCAGCAGGCGCTAGCCATGTCCATCTACGCACACTCCGTGAACTCAAGGCGGGCTGGAAGCGGATACAAGGCTGTCAAGGTGACCACCATTAGTATCTATGATTGGTGCGATGGCGTCCGTATAGCGGAATGAATTGCCCGTGTCGTTTAGTAGAGGGTACTCCCGGCTACGACTTGCGGCCTTCTTCCCATCTTACTGACTTCGAAATTGGGTCTCACTCGTGAGGACCTTGCAATTCCCTAGCAAGTCATATCGGGTAAAATCCCCCGCTGCCTCGTAGTCAAGGGACCGGCGCGGGTACGCATAGGTTTGGAGAGCGTTGGTCGTTAGTGGTTCGTATAGTGTTACTATTTTACGTCCTAAAATCGTAGAGGACAAAATAGTACCGCCTCGACGATAGTGCTTGCTGTTTTAGCGGCGGCGCGGTTCTGTTGACTCGTATCGGCACAGTTAGCACCTCCTTAGCGACCGAGGGAAAAAGATAAATACCTCTGATTTCCGGGCAAGTGCACGCATAAGGCAGGCCTTTGCACACCACAGACGCACCGTCTTTTCCCAATACTTTGAAGTGCGAAGTACCAAATACAGCTAGGTCATGGTGACAACTCCACTGGCTCGAGCATCCTTGCTATCATCAACGGTAATATCGTCTCGTCGTCGCTGCTGCCCCCGCGCCGAAATCATCAGACTGGTGTCGAGGCGTGTCTCATCCTGGGCGAGCTGCAGGTGGGCACGGATGCGCTTCTGGCGGCTATCCTGTCGGGCGTGCTGAGGCCCAGAGCGCAGTCGAAGGAGTTTGGCCAGGCCGCGGTGACGGTGGCAGACATCGAGGAGGTGCGCGTGGTTTTTTAGATCCGATGGCATCTCATGTGCTGTGTGTGCGTTCGTTGTTTCAAGGTGTTTCGTTCTATCTCGATTCGGTGGTCGGCGCTAAATTTCTTCAGGTTCCAAAGCTATTATGTCAAAACTGTTTTTGAGTCGGCGCAAAGCTTCATCGCGTGGCCGCTAACGTTCGTTTTAATTGCAACCCACGCTTCCTGCTGGGTATACATATACTTCAGGCAAGCAGGTAGTAGGCAATTTTCCTATTATGTTGTCTCTTCTCTGACACCCATCGCTCGAGTGCTTCAACTGAATTACGTGCATCGGTAACCAACCTGGTCTTCATGTTTACCGAATGTGGTATCATCAAACCGTCGTGCCTTTTTGATGTCTACCGCGAGCAGGGATTCGGTGCCCGCGTGGCTAGGTCGGTTGAGAACTTTGACCACGTCATGCGGCTGGAGGAGATGGCGCGCCGGCGCATGAGCAGGCGCGCGGCGGAAGACGTTGACGACGAAGCCGACCTCGACACCGGCAAGAAGCAGCGTCACTACCTGCGAGAGCTCATCATCTCGGAGGCTAGTGACTGGCAGGTCCTCACCCTATACCTCGCGGTGCACATGCAGAAGCTGCGCTCTGCCATTGCCGGCAGGGCCAACAACGCGACCCGGCTTGCCCGCGATGCGCTAGAGATCCACGCCCCTCTGGCCCACCGCTTGGGTGTCCACCACCTCAGCGGGGGGCTGGAAGACCTCGCTTTCGAGGCGCTGTATCCGACGGAGTACGAGGAGATCCGCCGCGCTACCGAGGCCAGGATGTCGGTGTACCAAGAGGTGATGGAGACTGCGAAGAGCGCGGTGTCGGCGGCTTTGCGGAAGGACAAGACCTTCATGTCTGAGGTGAGCTTTTGTTCTCGATTTTCATGTTGTCAAGACTGCTCTGCTGGTGTTGTGTATTTAACACTCAGGGAGGATGCAAGTCGTGTGTCACGTGCCGCTGTGGCTGCGTGTTGTCGCTCTGCCTGCTGTTGTTGTCCGTCCTGGTGATGTTTTTCTTTTGGTGTTTCGACGTCGACGAGCGCGTGCCCATCCGCTCGTTGCTTGCTTTTGATTGTGTGCAGCTGGCCGGGGAGGTTGTGCTCCAGCACCGCATCAAGGAGCCGTATTCGATGTGGAAGAAGATGACGCGGCAAGGCGGGGGTGTAGACGGCGTCTACGATGCGGTCGCCCTTCGTGCGGTGCTCAAGGCCAAGAGGCTGCCAGGGGAGACCGAGGAGGACCACGAGGAGAGATCCAAGCAGCTCTGCTATCACGTGAGTGTCATACAGTTCTTCATTTATCGGGTTGTACCGCCGTGGTTCCTGTAAACACGAATATGTCAGCGGAGCAAAACACCTGGAAAGTGAACGTGTCGCCCTATTGAGCTGCACTACCATGTTTTTGGTGCTGGACCAGTGTCGGCATGAGCCACCCTCCCCTCCCCCTGCCGCTCGCGCACTTTGTGGGACGCGAAGTCGGTTGAAGTGATCTCCTCGACGCCGACCTTGTCTGCTGCCCTTGCCTCCCATCGTGCGCTTTTCAAAACTGATGTGTTATGTATCCATCTCAGGCGATGTCGGTGGCCAAGAAGATGTACCCGTCGGTAGAAGGCCGCTGCAAGGACTACGTTATGCGCCCCAAGCCTAACGGCTACCAGAGCCTCCACAGCACCCACGAGGTGTCCGTGTCTCCGGCGGCGGCGGCCTCGGCGGGCGGAGAACGCCGCACGCACTTCGAACTCCAGGTGCGGAGCGCGTCCATGCACCACAAGGCGGAGTACGGGCACGCTGCCCACTGGAGCTACAAGAGCGACGACGGCGGCGCTAAGGCCGGAGGAGTAGGAGAGAGGAGATCGTGGAGGTCTTACGATCGGCTGAAGGCGGCGGGTGCACGGCGGACGGGAATTGACAGTCCCGCCACCGCCGTCCCCGACAGCGTGTCTTCCGGGAAGGAGCTGGTGACGTGGTTGCACCTCGAGCTCCGACAGCGCAAGGTGTGTGGTGTGGGCGTGTTTTGTGTCGCCATTTCTCGAATCGGGGTGCTCTGCTTGGTTTGAGTGTTGCGGCTGTGTGGCATCACGCGACGGATGACGGTCTTGCTAGCGGGTGCAGTCTCTTATGCCAAGTGGCTGCGGTCTTGTAATTGGTCTCGTGTGCTTCGTTCACCCCCGTCCGTCCCTTTGCACGGATTGTAGGTGTTCGTGTTCGGTCCCGACAATCTCATCTGGGAGCTCGACAAGGCGTCCGCTACTGCGGAGAACGTCCTCGGCCGCTCCCACGCGGCAGGCATCCGCCTCATCGACGGTGGCGCCGCGGGTGGCAAGAAAGGCATCACCCTCGTCAACGGGAAGGCCGTGCCGAGGCACTACGCCTTCAAGAACGGTGACGTGCTGGACCTCGACCTCGCCATGGCGTGATATGATCGGTCAAAACTCTTGATGTGGTAACCCGTGACTGTTTTTGAGGGAAGGAGAGGGTCATGGATCGACTGATTGAGAATTGCCTTGGGGCAAGAACCGTGTCCAGTGGGGGGAGAGTGAGAGTTGACAGGATCGAACGACGGGACATATTTTTTGTCGGAGGCGGCGGAAGGACGTCCGTCCTTGACTCCCTTGTTGGATATGTTGCGTTCTCTTCGGCAGCCATTGGATTGGTTTCGACGTGGCTGGGTAGGGCGGTTTACGTACGATGCCGGTCGAGTCGTGGCAAATATTCTTGCTTGGCCTTGGCCGGACCGGGGCGTGTTGTGTCCGCCCGACGTGGCGCAGCGTTGTACATAAAAGAACGAAAGAAAGCGCAGCCCTAGTTGATAGTGTGACGAAAAACGTGGTTTACGCGTCCTTGGGCAAGGGCTGTGGAAACAGCCGCTGTGAATGACGGGTGTAATGTCCTATTCTTGTTGTCGGCAACACAGCTAGCGACACTGGTGTATATAAGCGAGCTTGTTTGCTGTTGTATATTTACTCGTGTTTGTGGTGCGGCCTCTCCTAGTCTATTGTAAATAAAAGTTGTGCGGCGCGGTGTTGGTTTTTTCCGATGATCGCACGTGGCCGAGAGGTACTGCCGGGGCGTTGTCCCGCAGATGGTTAAAAGGGGCGGGGGGGGGGGACTTGTAGGGCGCAGAGTGGGAGGATGGATGTGTCTTGTGCTCGTTGCAGCCCTACCTTAATCCTCTCCTTGTCGACCTATAAAAACGAAACAAAGAGCGTCTGGTTATGCATAGTACTAGCTGTATCGTGTACGTTGAATTGCGCTATCCACTCCAATGAGTGTCAGGCAATTCTAGGTGCAACAACACCGATGTCTATATGTTGCCGTTTTGGTGGGCGATTAGCATGTGTCTGGATGTGGACAGCGAGGGGAGAGGTTTGGTCTATCATGATGGCAGGCCTCCCGACTTTTTTTTATTTTCGTGGTGGTAAGGTAAGGCTATGAAGTCACGCCCTCGCCGAGGGCGGCGGCTTGAACAGCCAGTGTCGTGTGTTCCTTTGGGTATCATAAGTGAGGCGTTCTCAGGAAATGGGGAGACCATTGCCGTGGTGCCAACGGTTTGGTATTAAACGTTGCTGATTGTTGCTTGTCTGTTGAGGGAGCGCGGAGGAGGTTTTTGGGGATATTCTCCGAATTGGAAGCAATATGCTCGGACGGGATGGAAGGAAGGATGGGCAGAAGACACACCAGAGCGACGAAGAAAGTGGCGTTTACCGAATGAGGGCCTCGTACATAGCGGTGTATCATTGTGGTGTATCGCAAAATCTGTTGTAGCATACAGGCTTTAATACGGGCGAGCGTGCATTAAATGCTCGTCCCCCGTACCCCCCACCCCATTCGCAGGGACCCGTGTCCCTTATCTTGTGTTGGGTGCGGCCCATTTTCGTGTACCTAATTGTAACAGTGGTACAGAGAGGGCAGTGGGTGTTAAGTTGCCGATGCACGCGGCAAAGCGGCGCATGAGGAACATGTCGAAAGCTATTTCGAGGAGTTGGTGTACGTCACTCGTCTTTGTCAGTGTACTGTATGGTTCGAAGCACTCGCGAAGTTTCGTGATGAGCAAATTGTCATGCCGTTGTTGTCTAGTTTCAAGGTGATGTTTGTAGGCCACGAAATGTTTCCAACAGGACTGCCGAAAGGAGGCTGATGGCTGTAAAGAAGCTTGAGATCAAATCTTGGCGGTTGGGTTGTGATTCCCCTTCTTTCTTTTTTTTTAGCCTAATGGGGGTAGTAGCAGGGAGTACGGGTCGATATGTGTGTGCTGGACGCACCGCCTGCTGAAAAGGGGTACTTCCAGCAGTTGTTCTGCAGCAAGTTGATGGAGGGTGAGAGGGGCTCCGGCTCCGCGAAAAGGGGCAGATTGTTGTGGGCTTTGTGTTGTTTGTGGTGTATCGTGTGCGATTTTTTTGTTGTTCTGCGTGGAGATTTTGGATGATAGCGAGAGAGGGGATTTTGGACGGGAGGGTACGGAGGGGAGGTCAATCAACAGCGAAAACGAGAAGGGTTGGAATAGCATAGCATAGTTGACGTGATGCAAGGAAAGGCGTTTGTTTGGCCTTCGGTGCAGGACGAAAAAGGGCCAGAGAGAAAAATGTCCGACCAAGATGTCCGGATACGAAAAGTTGTTGTCGCTTGTCGCTGTCGTCCTCTAGTTCCCGGGTGTTGCGCCAGGGCTATAGGATAGAGGATGGGTCTGAGAAGCACAGCCACCGTGTTTTCAGTTTTCAAAGTGGCTCTTAGAGCTCGACGACAAAGGACGCTGCGTCAAGGAGAAACGAGCTGGGCTGCTGATGACGGGCGATGGACGGAAAGAAGGAAGGCGTGGGTGACTTGTAGTAGGCCGTCAAGGGCTCCCACCTGATTGCTCGGCGAAGACCCATGGGTTACGACATGCACGGAAATACAAATGAGAATGTATTATCATTGCTTCGGCAACAAGCGGTCCCATGTTGAGTGTGTCCCTGCGATAGTGCCAGTAGATGATTCGGATTTCCTTGTCGGCACAAGTCATTTCCATATATCCACGGGATGTGTGCGTGCAGGGAAGGCTGTTGTACATGTCTGGTTCTTCACTGGTTGAGCGTGACAGACAAATCCCACCGTATGCGCAGGTGGACCACACGTATCATTTCGCCGTCTACACTACACTAGCAGTGGCCCCCGCATACCGTCGCATAGCGCCGACCATTCGAGTCATGTAACAGCTTTGTTTTTCCACGATCTGTGTCATCTTACAGGCGATCGGCCGATTTATAATGAGGCCTTCGGATTATATACAGGGACCACGCAGGTGGTCTGCTGTGAAGCGCAAGTCAAACGGCGGGTGTGGCCAGAACGGACGGTCCCAGACCACATTCATGCCGCTTGTTGTCCCGACACCATACGAACCTTTCCATTCCGAACATGAACCATCACGGTTACAAAACGACAGGAAATTGCCTTCCCAACTTGAAGCTGCTACAAATATGACCGATGCGTTTTATTTAGGTGCTGCCCAAAACTAACGATGGGTGCGATGGGTGGGCCCGCGCTGTGCCGAATGCCCCCACCCCTTCGCACCTCGGCCAACCCCCCCCCTCCCCCCCCTATCTCCCATCACTCTCCATCGTAATCCCTAGACCCTATCGTCGGACTAAGGATGTTTTCAACCGTCACGCGCGATTGATTGTTTTAAGATTCCGCGGTTGACATGCATTGTATCCATCCATCCATCCGCCCATGTTCCACACTGGGTAGGACAATGCTGCTGCTGCTGCTTGGAGGAGGGTGCTGGGCATGCGAGCACTACTGAAGAAGCAACACAAGTCGTGCACACGGTATTCTCATGGTAACGTCCTGTTAAGGCACTGCCGTACCTCGAGAAGGTACGTGCCCAGTTAGCCACGCTACAGTACCAACAGTCGGATTCGCCAAACACAACTGGACCCAAAACCAACCGACTAACGAAAGACATCATTGCGGTCCGTGTAACCAAGTAAGCTTTCACCAAAGCGTGCGTGGCGTGGCTGGTATTAGTGTCGGATTACTCGAGCACTCCCGCCTCGGTCTTGAGCTTGTCGATGAGCTCATCGACGCTCTCTACAATCACGCCACCTTGGCGAACAGGGGGTGGCACCACCTGCCAGAGGTTAGGGAAAACATGAGTGAGTGAGACAACAATGAGCCGCGGCTGGAGTCACACGGTATTTAAAAAACTTAACGTCAAGGAGATGCGAAAACGAGTCCATGTGTACCGTCGGATGAAACCAAAAGGCGAGAAAGCTAGAATCGAATATCAACTTGATACTTTAGCCAAAGTTGGGGACAAATCCATTTGATCGCAGATGCTGCTATAATAGCAGGTTCAAGACACGTGCCTCCAGAAATCGACCCCATGTGTTCCCGCCACGAACCATGTTCCAAGATGTTACCATGGGACCAGTGCAATGACACGACAAATGATTCCATTGTGTGCCACGGAATGCACATGTGTACCATGGGACATACGAAGCCAACAACAGCAACACAAACACAAACCTAAGCATGGGACTCAGCAATCGAACCTCAATACATACAGATATGAACCGCAACATGCGTCACCTCGATGACGGTATTTCGTGGCTTGATATCCACGCCCATGTCCGCCGCGGTCAGCACATCTACAGTCTTCTTCTTTGCCTGGCAGATGTCCACGCGCAACGTGTGTCAACTTGTCAACAGGAACAAAAAACAGAGAGCGTGTGTGTGCATCTAGCAAAGTACCACCAGCGGGAACCAACACGGGCTACAGCCTAGTCACTGATTGGACAACGAACCATGTGTCAGGCCTAACAGCTGGTAAACAACCACCAGCCTTGGCAGGGTTTTCGCATTTTGATAACATGTTGGATAAAGTAAACACTCGGGGAAGTTGGCCTAGGGTTGGGGTTAGGGTTGGGGAATACACTCTGTCCCCCCCCTTCCTGTTGTTTCCTCAGAAACGTACTGATCGCGCGAAGGCGGTCCTAAATAACCAACGACTAGATGGATTGTACTGCTGGGCGGGGTCTCCGTGGGCGTGGCAAACCGTTTAGCAAATCATCGCGCGATTGGCTGATAATGTTGATGTTGATGTTGATACAGGTTGGTCTCAGTCCTGGGAGCAGTGATCGGTCAAACGAGCAGCGTGTAAGTCGGTCGTGGGGGACGCTGACACCAAGCAACGTCAAAGAGTCAAGCGTGTAGCACACACATAACTAACGGACGGGAACTACAACGCCACCCTGGCGCCCGTTAGGAATGTGGCCAGGGCATGCACACAGCAGCAGCAGCAGCAGCAGCAGCACAGCAGCAGCCGCGTTGGCTTCCTTGCATCAAACACAACACTGGCATCACGGCTTAGCGTACCTTCATTATGTTGGGGAGGGTCGCGTACCGAGGCTCGTTGAGGCGGAGGTCTGCGGTAACGACGGCGGGTAGAGGGACCGACAGCACCTGTGTGCCCGTGTCCGTTTCTCTCTCCACTTCCAGCTGCTTTCCCGCTTCCACCACAGTAACCTGCCACAGAAGGCCACAAGGTTAACGTCAGCACAGTCAGTGACGGTGCCTTGAACAGGCTTGCCCCGTGAAACGCACAGCAAGGGCAGCAGTACACAGCAGTGAGCGACCGTTGTGCCTTGAGCAGGCTCGTTCCACAAGGAGTCCCACAAGTGCAGCAGCACAGTGAGTCACGGTACCTGGAACACGCTTGTCCCCACACAAAAACACATGCGTGATGGTTGAAGCTGGAACACGGTTGTGAAAATTCAGAGGAGGCGCACGACCGGGATACCTTGGCGGCGAAGGTCGCCTGGGGCCAACCAAGCATCCCCGCCAACATTGGTCCGGTCTGCGAGCAGTCACCATCGATGGACTGCTTTCCAAGAAGCACCAGGTCCACCTTCTGCTCTTCTACCACCTGTCGCACACAACAGGTCAACATCCATGCGTGCCATTCGTTGGTCAACATATACGTAGAAGGCGCTCGCTTGGGTCAGAGCAAGGATTTGTAGTGAAAAACGGCTTCACCTTTCTGGGCCTGCGTGGGCAGAGAAGAAAACCTCGCCCTGGCTACCAGTAGCCACAGCGCCAAGCAGTCACACAAGGGCAACTGAAATCTTCCTGCCTACAGTACAAGAGCAGCTTCTTTAAGTGATGCTCATACCTGGGAGGGTGTACGTGTAGGTTAATGAACTCACGATGACAGTCACCTACTCCATACCAGCTATTGCACCTCTTCGAAGGCAATACTCGCACATCCAAGGACACGTTAGAAATCGAAACGAAAATCTCCATCAATGCAGGCCATACTCCTCTACCCCAAACCAACGAGCCCCCCACCCAAAGAGCACCAAAATACCCCAGGGTATTTTTTTTTCTGACGCCGTGGACGAGAACAACGCCGTGTAGCGGCGGAATGAAGGTTGTTTACCTTCTTGAGCAAGCCCGCAACCGCCAACGGCTCCAAGCCCTGGTCGGTTCTGACGGCCTCATCCGTCAGGATGTGAACCCCTCGGTCCGCACCCATGGCGAGGGCTGTTCTCAGAGTGTCCTTGGCTGCCTTGGGCCCGATGGACACGGCGATGACTTCGCTTGCTGCCTTCATCTCCTGAAATGGGTAAATAGCATAAAACGGAGTATTGGTTGTGGTAGGTAGACGGTTCAAAGGAAGGTGCTCTCTGTCGCAATATGTAGTCGACGAGAGGATTGAACGGTGATCTAGGAGCACAAACACAAGGATGAATCCTTCCGACCAACAAATCGCAGAGGAGTCCTTGTGCATGGCCCGGATCTCAGTAGCTTACGAATGGATCGCATTGGCGCGTGGATAGAGAAAGGCACGCCCGGTGTTTCTTACAGCAGCAGACGCAACTCAACCCCAAAACCGGCGGTATGACGGTCGGCATGATGGGAAGATGCCCCGTGAATCGATGTTCTGCACGCCAGCAGGCACGCCAGCAGGCACGCTTGATTCGATGATCAAATGGGTGAGACCTCCCAACGTTCCGTACATCAACGGCGGTAGGTGCATGGGGGAGAATTTACGTGTGTTGCAAATCTGCATCTCCCTACAGCTGTACAACATGCTGCTGGGCTCAGTCCCACCGAGCACCTAGCCATGACGAATTGCGGACTGTTCTTGCGGTGTAACATGCACGTTTATTTGAGTGTAGCTTTTTTTGAAGGTAAGTTAGCCTGTGACCACGAGAATCGGCCGCGTCAAGTGTTGGATCTGTGCGGACATATGAAGGTACTGGGTAGAGAGAGTGATCGGAACGGTTTTTGATGTGAAGACAACAACAACAACAATAACAACGCACGACCTCCGCCCGTTTCTACACACCCGAAGGAATGCACACGCTACAGTACTGCTCTACAGTACTGCTATTGTTTACCGCAACAGACTCCCGCTTTCGTATCGACCATCGTTATCGGTTGCTCTACATGCACTCTTTTACTATAATTGTTGTACTCCGCACCTTCAACTTGACGGCTTCCTCCATTGCGTTTTCGCAGAACGGGTTCATGGACATCTTCACATTCTTCAGTTCAACCCCTGCACGGAACCATGCAACAAACGCTTCATCAGATACGGACGTTTTCCCTCCACCATTCAGATTATGGGGCACCGAACACCAACCCCAGCTGGTAGCAGCTTAGCTCTCAGCTCAGTGCCGAGATGATGCGGCGAAACTTGACTGCTGACTGTAACACAGCACCGCTGCCGTGTTCAAAGTGTGCAACGCTCCGAAACCGGCGTGTCAAATCAACGCGGAATTGCAGCGTACCTGCTTTGTCGGGTTGGATTCGGACTTTGACCGCGTAGTCGACCACACGCTTCACGCCTACCAGCACTCTCATGGTTGCCTCTGTTATGTGTTCGCTGGTGCTGTACAGCAATAGTGCGCCCCCGCTGCTTGCGTTTGTTGGCCGCCTTGTGCGGGCGGGAACCCTGAAAACCGAGTGGTTCGCGAGGCGTTTTTGTAACGCCTCACGAAATACGGCAACCACCTTATTTTTCACCTCTTTTCCCGCCGAAATCTGTTTGTCGTGTGTTGCTGTGTCTGCAGCGTCGTGTCTCGTCGGAGGACCGCGTCTCCACAAACTTTGTTCTGTTCTGACGCCTGGTATTCAGTGTCTCCTGATCACCTGTCAATGTTTTGAATGATGTGGAGTACACATCATTGGAACATCTCGCCCTTTCTGTGGAGAGTACAAGCAGTCTACCCCGGTTGTGCTGTTCGGTCCTGAAATTGGTGACTCAAGCGCGGCCAACCCTGCATTATTTTTCGTCCTCCCGTGACAGACATTCCGGCTTTGCGTACACATATCTTGTTGACTTTTTGACGGCCATGGACTTCGAAGTAGTCCTTGGACAGATGTGTGCCGCGGGCCGACCGTTGGCACAACAAGTATGTCAGTCTGCATGGCAACTCCTCAGGAAAGACGACCGACATCGAAGATATCGCGCTTCGGGTTGTACCGCGAAACAGCACAGCAATGGGCTCTTGGGCGACTGGATGCCGAATAGTTGCCACCCTAGCAGAATCTGGATATCCTGATTGCACGACTGACGAAATAGACGGAAGAGTGCACACAACGGTTGATTTTTCACCCGTGCATATCACGGCAAAAGCGGCTTGCTATCGGTGAGACGGCGTTGATTTCGGTGACCCAAAGAGAGAGCTGTGCGATGCGCGTTGCGAGGACTTCATCATAGCCCACAACAACAGCGACAATCTGCGCGCGTCAGCAGAGTATCCACTACAGCACCCGAGGGTGCAAATGATCTTGAGAACATTGTTGAACAGACTCTGACGATAGTGGGCCGTGACTGCAGCAGGATCAGACGGTATATCGTTGCGGAGCATTTCTTTTTCCCCCAGCGAAAGGGCTACCGTGGTTGAAGGAGCAGTATATCGACCAATAAACGTGCCATCTTTCGTCAAGATGCCGACTTCCCTCGACCTCGAGCTCGAGGCTCCGCACATGCGGCCAGAAGCATTGCCGTGGGAGTCGGTCAGCAGCGTCAAGACTTTCGCCAACCTTTCGGTACAAAAGAGCCTCACCATGGTCAGCCTACCGGCTGTGGTAGACCTAAGCCAACTCCTCTTGCCAGGAGAAGCGGGTGAAGAGCGGCGGTTGATGACGGGACAGGAGACCCTTCATGTGGAGATCCAAGGGTACGACAACGGGGTAGCATTCTCACTCGGCAAGGCGTCCATACCGCTTCCCACGATGCCGGTGATGATGGAGCAGTCGAGCACGTCTCATCACCCGATGCGGGTGTGCTTGACAGGAGCAGAGGACGTGCGAACAGGGACGTTGGTAGGGGCCTTCCGAGCTTCTTGGTCGTCTGCGGACGAGCCCTTCCGTGATGTTGACCCGAATCTGAACGTTATTCTCCCACAGCAGCAGTCTGAGCCTGGCCCTGCGGTGGTAGAGTCTCAAGAGAAGATCGCGGAAGACGTCATTGACCAAGAAGCCGAATACCCTAGGCTCGGAGAACATTCCGGAGAGGTGAGCACACCGCAGTGTGTATCTTCTGCAAAGTTGTCCAGTGCGATTATGTCTACTAAGTCTATCAGTGTTTCGTGTCAATGTATCCCATGTTTCAATGCATCAATGCCCATCTACTGTATCTTGCCGTCGGCCACGAACTTCTTGCCGTTGCCCCTTGCTCTCGGCCTTATCCCAAGCCGATCCATCAAGGTTGGGAAAACCAAGCGATTGCACTATTAGATGAGGCCACCAGGGTTCTGGCTGCCTCTAGGTCCTCCTATTCAAGACGGCAACGTCGTCCGTCCAACACATCTGCAGCAGCAGCGACCGACTTTGCCTTCGAAGATCGAAAAGAGCATGGCGATGGAGATGCCCATAAACGACAGCAGGTGGGCTGGTTCTGTACAGGTTGCCCCGGCAGCGATGACATTTACCGTTAGAGCGACCGGTGCCACGAAGGGTCGAGACACACCTGTACCACAGTAGTGCACGGTAGAACAACGTGTGAAAGCGCTACTCTGATTGGCTACCTCCAACACTACCGCAAAATTCTCCAATGGAGGTCACGACAACGTCCCGCAGGCACCTGTTCAAAAGTTCAACCGTTCGTGCTTGAACATGTATCCCATAGCGACTCATCGTACCGCAGGTTTCCGAGGCGATCCCGGCGAACACATGGGGTACAGGATATCCAACAGTTGTCGCGATGCGTTCTGCGTCGCGCCCCGAGAACAAGCTGGATGAGCGTGTCCCACCTCGCTTTCCGACGGCAGGTTTCAAGTGAGTGAGCCCGACAGGAGTCGGGTCGGTTGCCACGAGATCGGTCCTTATGGATTGTTAGTGGCGTTGAATATCGCTGCGAGCGCGGAACAAGCAATCAAAATCAACGAGCACGTGCAAGATTGACAAGCGGCATGGCAGCATGATTATCCTATCTGTACATGTGGGTTACAGGTTAACACTTGTGTTTACAACAACAGTAACTCGCCCGTGGCGGTGTGCTGCTCAGGATTCTAGAAAAGCTCGGAATATTCGGCTTGTGTCATGTCCTTCACGCTGCTGGTAAGATGGACACCTTCCGGTCATGGTTAACTTACCTGCCCTCTCACAGGTTCGAGCCAACCACCGGCAGCGTGGATTGGCATCGAGTCGCAACAGCCAATGTGTCCAAGATTGAAAGAGAGGGAGACCTGCAGACACTCAGACAGTTTCTTCCGGATGTAGCCGTCGGAAAGGTAGACGACGATGACAACTTCGACACCAATCCCGGCCTCTTGAACGCGTTTCGACTGGCGCAGCTTCAAGCGCAGTACGTGCTCCACTGCCAGCAGGTAAAAGCGCCCCTTCGTGTTTTCTCGATTTTCGCTCGCAAGCTTGGTGGGTGGTGTTGACTGTCGGTGGAATGGAGCACGGGATTCGGTCGTACCATGTACCTGAACGCGCTCTCTTCACCTACTGAATACTGCACACCCAAATGATACACCCACGTAGGACACCACCACCCATACACAGTGACACACCGGGTGATGTCTTGATCTCGAAGCCCAAATATCACCGGGAGTGTTTTCTTGCAGAGCATAACTATACGGTACAAAGACACAGGACTTGACACGGACCCATGTACTTGGAAGCTTGCGGTGTTGTGTGGTGTGGAGAGAGTCACATCTCTTGGTGGAGGTGTCATCTGCACTTTCCGTCCAAGGTTTTGACGGGATGAGTGGAGATCGCACCCCATGTTACGTTCGGCCAATGGTCCATCACCTACGAAGTCATGAGCCATTTTCAAGGCGATATGAGCTGGAAGCGGTACCAAAGGCAACGGACACCTGCTGTGCCACTTCCAACCTGAACGCCAAGCTAGCTCTCCTATTGCGCCCGGCTTCGGTCGTTTTTCGTACTGTAGGTCTTGCAACGGCAGTTCATCAGCCTGCAAACGGCAGTGGCTGGTATGGAGTTGGAGACGGAGGGGAACTTGCAGGGAATCAAGGCAATGAAGAACAGTGCGCGCCTCCTTCGAAAGGAAAACCGAAAGCAGGTCAAACAGAAAAGAAGAACGACTAGAGCTTTCGCCGAGAAAAAAAAAACTTACTGTTTTGTTCGTGTCGAAGTCCCTGTTTAGTGTGGCTGGGAGCCGGGGAAGAGGTCTGCCGGTGCTCTTACTGTAAGGTGAATACATATCGCTCCCCGGCTTGTCGAACTGGGGATGTCGGCCAGCTTAGGCCTTCTAGTTTCTTGTTTGGCAGTAGTTGGTCTACCGCTTCCTCCTTATCGCTCGCTTGGCGAGAGTCCCGGACGTGCACCCCCTACTGTAGGAGCAATTGAAACGGCCGGTGTTGAGTACCAACCGAGTCGAAGCCGACCTTTTTACATGCCTGGCTCTCAACGGTATAAACAACGTTGATGTTGCGGAACCCCCTCTCCGCCCGGCCGCGTCAGGACAAGATCATCAATGGCTACGCGGCTATGCTAAGAATTCACAATCCAGGTCTGGCTTCGAAGGTGTTCTTGGACGACAAGGGAAGGCTAAAGGCTCGCAGGTTGGACGATGCCGCTCGACGTCGGGATCGTGGGAGGCGTCCAGAGAGACGAAACCGTCGCCGTTGCCATCGAGAGAGAAGCGCCGGCAAAACGACGGAAGACGGCGAAACGGTGAGTGGATGTTCGGGTGACTATATTCTCTGTGTGCCTGCTATGGTGCTGTCGATAGTAGACGAGGTAGCTCTCTTCTCGTAGGCTCATGATCTGATCCTGCAAAGGTGGGTTCTTTATCTGTCATCGTTGGACGACTTCGGCCATTTAAACAAGGACGCCCGTGGGGGCGGAAGTGGAAACTACAGTTTGCTTACGCCAAATCCTGTCGACTGCTTGCACGCGCCGCCATAGCGTAGCATATCTCTCGAGTGCGGTAATTCAGACTGCGCAAGGCAACTGGTCACAAGAAACACGTTTCCGCTAACGTAGCAGATTCAACCTACCGCATAGGCTCGCTTGCGGGCTAGCCCTGCACCACGGTCAGCAAATAATCCTTGAATATGCGCGTAGACAACTTTCTTGGTTTGAGCGGGTGCCACTTGCGGTGCCCCCAATATAACCGGTGCTTGCCATGCCTTGGAAAGGTTATCGCATGAGTCAATTCATGTGGCGAAGGTGCTCAAAGCCCCCTTCTTCCCTCTCCCCGTCCATGGGGCCACCCCTGCTCCGATCTTGCCCCACCTTCGTGACAGCCAAGCAACGAGACAGAACAAGGGGCTTCTCCAGCCGGCAGCGCTCTCTCTCAGGGGAACGGCAGCGATTGGTCAAAAGCAGGGGGCCCCGCTCCAAGAATCGGCAGGGGGCCTCGACCTGGTAGCACCCCCATGACTACAACTACCGCGTCATTCAAATACCGAGACAGCGGCTTCTCCCTGGGTAACGGCCGGGAGCTGGATGAGGGTCATGTGGCGGCACCGACCGACATTCGGGAGGCACTTTTTGTAGAAGGGGGTCGGCCTCCGGACGTGAGGAATGGCATCGGTGAACACGTAGAGTCCCTTGGTGCTACTACTGCCCGCGGCGGCGGCGGTCGTGGTGATTTCACTCACAGCAGCACTCGACTGGACGCTGAAGGGCAGGACTCATGGACGGCAGGCTCGTCCTTGTCTCGCGGTAGGGAGGGCTTCGGGGTCGAGCCGCCGGTACCCGGAGTTCGTGGATCGAGCGGTGCGGCGGGGGCACGCCCAGAAAGCGGCGGCGGCGGCGGTAGCACCCTTAGCCTAGCTGGAACAGATCATCGCACTGGCAACCGACCGATTGTGGTAGCAGGAGCGGGCGAAGAGAGAGGTAGCTCTGGCATCAATGCCGAAGTCTACGCCGGGTCACCTACGGCCAGACCAGCAACGGGCCCCCGGGCGAGCCGTTCTCAAGGCGATGATTCTGTTGTGGGCTCGAACGCTGGGGGCGTTGCGAACGACGACAGTCTCGCATGCGATGGATGGAGGGGGACAGGCTCCGGTTCTCCAATGCGCCGGGGCGGAACTTCGAGATCGGGCGAGGAGTTCCATGATGACAGGCGTGTGTCCGGAGAGGGCCTGAGCGGGGTCGACCGCTCGCCGAGAGTGGTGACCGTTGCGGTCAAGTCCAAAAAGACTCGACCGACTTCGGCTGGAGAGGGACGAGAGGGACGCAGCACGTCACCGCCCCCGCCGCAGCCACGGCATCGTCGACCAGAAGCTAGCGATAGCGATAACGCCGTGTCTGACCAGGCCGATGGCCGTGGTGAGGCCTCCCTCGTGAAGCAAGACGCGGAAGCCATACGCCGCGAGAACGAGAGAAGGAAAACGGGAACGTTTCCTGAGAACAAAACGACGGCTAGGCACAGCAGTGGGCGGCCGACCACTTTGAGCGGCGGGGAGGACGTGGCGGGAGCTGCCACCGCATGGCTCCCAGGGAGCGGTGGGACCAAACTGAAACAGGAGAATCTTGACGTTACCGTTCCCGATTCCCCGTCTCTCGTCACGAATGCGGCAAGGCTCGGTCTTGAGGGGGACGAGTTTCCTGATGTGTCGGACTTCGACGTGGACGACATCTCGGAGATTGATGCCGGCGGAGAATGGCCAGCAAGTGCTGCTGGGTCAGGGTCCCTGTCTTCTTAACTCTTCTGTGTGCATTCGCAACGCAGCTTGCCTTAAGCAATTGCGCTGGTCCTCTACGAGATTCTCGGTGGCATGTTTTTTGTATGTGGTGTGTCAGCGTAATGATACGGGACGGTTCGTAGTCCATGTCTCCTCGACTACTCTTGAAATGTATAGTCTAGTCCATCCCTTGTACGCGCTTTCCGTGTCGTCAGGTCAATTTAGCACCGGCGGCAGAAAAGTTGCCGTCTGAGCCATCATCTCTTGCACGTCGGTCGAGCTCGTCGCGGATTGTCCGCTGAAGGACGTGGTGAATCCAAAACGCGTTTACTAAGGCAAAGGCTTCCTTTCGGGCGACTTCGTACGCCCAAAGCATGCCGGGCCGAACTCCGGCGGGTATGGTCCAGGTCACAAGAAGAAGTGGGACGAAAAATATCGATTTCCCCGTCAAAACGAAGGGACATGAGTCTGAGAGGGGACAAAACTACTACTTCTATTTGGGTGGTTGAGGAAACCTCAAAGGTCGCCCAACGCGGCGGGCGCGTTCTACCCGCTCCGAGTAAGGTCTCCTGGAAACTTCCTTGCCTTGTCAATCATGACGATCGCAGCGTCTACTTCAGCGCGGTCGGCGTGCCAGACGTCTGCTCCTCGCCTCCGACCACCCTACGTCCGTCCACCTCCGTGGCACTAGCGGTTCGAAGGCGTACCAAGCCACGCTGCTACGCATGGACGACGTGGAGGACCCATTTATTCACCCCCGTCCGCTGTCTCCCTTTCCCTCACCACCTTTCTTGTCAGGCAGGTCTCTCTTGCCTGCGGACCACCTGTGTCTATCTAGGTGTTGTGAGGAAATTGGTGCTGTCTCGCCAGCGGGACTTACCCCCTTTGGCGTTGGCCCCCGTGCCCCCTCACCCCCCTGTGCCCCCCCGCGGTGTCCTCCCGATGCCTCCTGTATTTCAACCATAGTATCGACTTTGCAACGGCCAGTCGGGTTCGACCGCTCTTCAGCCTTGCTCAAGACAGCATGCCAATATCACGACCCTCTATATTGGGTGGGCCGTACTCTGTGTTGGGTGGGCATCCCGCGTGTAGTGACAGCACAGCACGCCATTCGACTACTGCACAGGGATATGCACCACGACGATCACAACACATCCGGAGGCATCAGCATCAGCATAGGCATCAGCATCAGAATCAGCGTCAGCGTCAGCATCGATAACCCCTCCACAAGCACACAAACACAAACAACGCCATACCCCGTTGCATGACCTCAACACTGCCGATCTATCTACTTGATGAACCCTTCCAAGTGAAACCGCTCATTGAACCGGTGGCGACGGAGATCTTTGCAAGGAGATCATTTTCGACACCAAAGGTCGAGAGCGGGCAATGCGACCGGGGAGGCTTGTGTGATATTACAGGTCCTGTGCACCGGACCCTGTATAGCAGCTTACGATACCAAGGGCGCCACCATTGCCATTTCCTTGGATGGCCGATGTAGAGCAGGCGCACTCTGCGATTCCAACAGCGACTTTTTCGTACCACTGCAAGGAAACACATCGCATGGTTTCGTGAACAGAGCCGGCGGGGGGGGCGGGGGGGGCGGGCGGGGGGGGGGGGGCGCAGCGAGATCGATGAAACAGAAGGAACGCTGCTAGAGGCAGGGGTACAGAAGTCTAGATGTCTGCGGAAATGGTAAACTATGGAGTCACGTGTAGTCATGGAGAAGTTGATGAGGGCGACAACACACCGCAACATAAACCACACATGCACAAAATCTTTACACAAAATCTTTACACAAAATCTTCAAAAATAATGGTGTCGTGAACATATTGATGATCTGGCCGCGTGCACACCTCCCCCGCCGGTTGGAGATCTCGTCCGCGAGAATGATCCGGCCGCTTCCGCGCCTGGGGGTAGCAGCGTCGCCGCCGGCCACGTCTTGCTGGCTCTCGGGGAGGGCCAAGGTAGCTGGCGAAGATGCGGAATGACCAAGAGGCGCCAGCGTATTGGACACCTGCTTCGCGGTGCATGTGGTGCATAGAGGGTAGAGCGAGGTTATGAGGTGGCTAACGACTCTTCGTTGAGGAAGTCGTAACTTTTCATCGCACACGCTATCTACATTTGTGTTGCATGAAAACCAGCACCTCCTAACGTAGCCAGATGCGATACAAAAACATTGCAGAAGGGCCTGCGAGGGATTGGCCCGCACGTGCGGTAACCACCGACATCTCCGGAAGATGCTATTAACATTCTAGGATACACCCCACAAGTCAGCCATAAATCTTCCTAGCAACAAAAAGTAATCACGCCAAAAAAGGGAGAACCATTCCATCCCATATCCATCCGCATATCCCATTCCGCGTCGCGAAAGATCGCGATTTGTAACAAACCACGGGACCCCTCGACGAAGGGAAACGCGCTTGAGGCACCTTTGGCAACGTAGGTAGGAACGGTGATCGACCCAGTGCGAAATTCTCCGTCCTCTCGAGGACGCGTTGTCAATGGCCAAACAACTACGGCATGCCACACAAGAGTACCCCCCACCCCGCTCTGCTTCGCGCTCTCACGCATCCCTCCTACATCGTCATATCCCAACCTGCATGGCGAAGGCAGCCGCCTCCCCGCTAAGCCGCTGTGCCCTGACACGGTTCTCCTCGAACTTCTCCGTCACGCTGCAGAACTCCTGGAAGTACGACTCCCTCTTCTTGGTTTCGGCGAACTTCGGGACGCCTTCCACCCGAGAAGGCGGGTTCGGGAACTGTAGGAGACCGGAGGGGGTCAGGTCGGTGAGATTCTTGGCGTTCGGCCGCTTTCGCATTTAGCTCGACGTTCGGGGTGGAGGTTTGTTGCTTGACCGATGTAGTCTATACATGTTGACCATTGTCTTGCCACCATGGCCGTCATTTGAGTAAATATTTTCTCCATCCTCTCTACCAGGCACCGAGGTCAATGGTCTAACGACTACGGCATGCACGACTATGAGTATCCCCCCCCCCCCTCCCCCCCTTTACGAGGCACCTCTTTCCCCGTAAGGTATTGTATTGCCCGTTTGTACCGCACTCGAGAAGTGCATTCATTCATTGCCTAGGCCGAAATGACCGAAGGCCGGCGAACGGTAGATATCCCACGTGAAGAACGTCGTGCGTATCTGCCCGAAAAGGATTGTGTGTGTCCGCAACCGAAAGGTACATGACAACAGAGACGGCTACACGTCGCACGTACTACGGCTGTTGCTCAGCACGGTAGGGGAAGATCTGTCTTTACCTAGCGCCAAACCTCCAAAGGTGGGCGCCGAGTGTGCTCAAAGACGTCACATCACGTGGATGTCACATCACGTGGATCGAAGTCAGGCTTGCGATGTTGAGTTCTTTCTGTTGATTCGCCAGGGATTTCGTTGTTGCTACGGAGAGGCAGACATCATACGTGTAGGCCCGAAGGAGCAGCGCCAACCCCTCTATCCGAAACCCTGAGAATCATGTCACGTAAACCATTCTAGCTTGTGGGAATATTTACGGAGGAAGACAAAATAACCAAGTAGTAGTAGTAGTAGTAGTAGTAGTAGTAGAAGTAGAAGAAGTAGTACAAGTAGTAGTAGTAGTAGTACAAGTAGTAGTAGTTTTTGTTATTGCTGTAGTTACTGCTGCTGCTGCTGCTGCTGCTGCTGCTCCTCCTGTCGTCGTCGTCGTGGAGAGGTCTTTCACGCGTGCAAAAGTTTAGTCTCACCAAGAGGGTGTCCCACTCGTCGAACGTGGTTCTCATCAGCCCCGGTCTCGCTGCAGCACTCCCGCGCTTCGTCTTCGTGGCGCCCGAACCGGTGCTGCTTCCTTCCCCGCCGGCCGGCAAACCGGGGTTTACCTTAGAGGGCGAGGGAGGGCCATCAATGCGTAGCTCGTGACACACATCGAGAAAAAGTTACACAGTGGGGCTGGGGTAGAGCAAACGTGAGTCCGGATGCCCAATAGACCGACTGACCGCAGACAAGGCTCAGGCCGAATGCCCGACGACAATATGAACGAGAGGATTAACCCTTGGAAATTTCCAGGCAAGCGATGCATTTATCGTCCTTCAAGCACACAAATATCGCTTTAGACCGACGGAGGCATCGAGTTTACAACGCTTTTCATCCATCTATGTTCGTCGTGGGGAATACATCGCTCTTGGGGGCGCCCACCTCTTCCTCCGGGCGAGTGACGTCAGGCTGTAGGAGGTTCCCGTCACCGTCCGGCATCGTGATGCGGTGCACGATGTAGTCGGCCATGTACGCCATGTGCGCCTTCTCCGACAGCGCCTGATCCTCTTGCTGCTGGTCCCCGGCCTGCTCCTGTGCCAATTCAAGTTGCGAAAGCGTGCTCGGTGAATGAACGTGTCGCAAAGGCCGCTGCTTCACTCGAACATTGGGGTTGGATGCGAGTCGCTATCTCAAGATGTTGTTGTTTATGGTCCTGGACCCTTCACCATCGCACGGAAATGAGTTCTTCTTCCAAGGGGACGGGCACATACACGCTAGCGTGTAAAACACAACACGGCACAGCCAACATGCATGGTCCTGAGGAAACAAGTGCACGAACTGGGCTAGGAGCCAACGGACGACTATCAGCTAGCGCACTCCGACGAGACCGCAGGTTGTTGGCGGCTGACTTCAAAATAAAAAACGCCCACACACGGCCATGTGTTTCGGGTTCCCAAACCTGTGACCCTAACCTTACAGTATTCCATTCTAGCACGAGGTGAAAACAAAAACTCAATGTCGACGCCATCATGTCCTGCAGCACCTTGTTGGCGTCGCTGTTGCCTCCTCTTGATCCTGATCCTGATCCTCCCATGGCGTGCTCGGTCTTGGCCGCCAATCGCTTGGCCTTGAGGTCCTTCAAGATTTCGGCCTCGGCCGCAGCGCTTACGGGGATCTAAACGGAGGAAATAGCAGCGGCGACGGAACGGGGAAATGCGCAGACCCTCCCAAGCTTAGTTCGTGTTTATGTATGACAAAAATCATATCGCTCCATATCTCCCGGGTGGTTTAGTTCTGTTTGGTCGCGCTACCCATAGCCCCCGTTCAAGGTTTGTCGAGTATCTTCTTTATGACCAACTCCTCGCTTCTGTTTGTGTCGAGCGCCTCAGGACCGGGGCTCTCTAGTTGGGATATTCCTCACCGTACCCGGGCTGGAGCGACGCACGAAACCCCAATGACAACCTTTTCGTCGGGCTAACGACACTGGATGGTGGACGCCCGGTCGTGAACGCTCTGCGGGCGCATGTACACGCCCAGGCTGATGCGCAAAGTACTTTGCATGGGGGCCTGCTAACTAGATCAAGGACCGTTCTTTTCGGGGTCGATCGATGCTCAACAGGATGCTTCGTCGCCATCTTTGAGTACAGGCTATATTGCTCAGCTAACTCGAAGTTCGTCATTGGCAGCGCAGCGAACAAAAGCACTCTGCAGTGTTTATTTTCCTCCTGCGTGAAAGCGGCTGGTGCATCACACACCCGAAACGTGAAAACTATTGTAGCACTTGGAATATTTTGAACGAACACAACACGCGATCACACAAACAGCGTGGGGCCAGCGGCTGAACCCGATTTCATAGCCCGAACTTATGTGCGTTCACAAATATGAGTCTTGGGGTGGATGCTTCTCTATGGGCCACTCTTGCTGTAGCCGAAGAGTGCATCGTTTTCGACGAAAGGGCCGTGTACTGTACCTTAGCACGATCAATGAAGATTATGGGGTAGGTCTTGAGTTTTTCTGTGTGGAACGTGCTCACGGCCAGGAACCCCTTGGCCTCGTTGAGCTGGATCACCACCTCGATCAGGTCCTTGGTCCTGCAGGCGTCACCAACCGAAGGCTCATCATGCAGAGGTGAAACAAGCGCAAGCACATGCCGCTAGTGTGAAACGACGGCGCCTCAACTCAATGAACAGTTGCCTGTGCCTATCTCCTACATCACTCCGAGTACTGTATCATGATCTTAATTCATTACAGTAGTACCGTAGTCAGACGTAAAGCATGCCCAAGAGTGGACCACGCAGCACACAAGACACACACACTGACCCACCGACTCGCACTTACCTCCAGAAAAACTTCTCCCCCCTGTAGAATATCTTCCCGAGGTGCACCAAGGGTTCCAGCTTCGCCAGCTCCCCTCCCAAACCGCCTACCGCGGCGTCGTTGGCGCTCACCGTCTCGTTAGCCATGTCCCGTGCTGCCTTTTCCAACTCACTGTTTCGCCGACAAATGAAACGGAACGAGAGGGAAATGAGCGATTGTTTCGGCCTTCGGGTTGTTTGAGAAGTTGCCGTGGGGAAGAAACGGCATGTGTGCGTGTTTGCGTGGAGGGCATCGTGTGTCATGCGTGGTTTTCATGGGCTACGTTTCTTTTTTGTGAAGAGAACCACGAACAATTCAGATAATACGCGATATATTCTTTTTGTGAGATAACGGTATGCTCTACAGGCGCGCAATTTCGTCCAATCATCTTGTGTTGTCCCTCTTGATAAAGCGGGAACCTAAGGAAGGAGCAGGAGAAGAAAGGTCGTCCGCAGCGACGACGAAGTCCAAGTCGACGGCCGAGCCGACTTTTTCGAGAAGTCAGACTACGCTTAGCGCACGCGACCGACACTAACATAAGTCGTACTTACATTTGTGGGATACCGTCGCTGCCCGATATTGTATTGTACGTGGCGGGAGATCGCTCAGTTCATGCCCAGTAAGTACCCGTAGCGAGAAACTGTAAAGACATGCCTGTTTTACTCCTTAGTCCTCACCGATCTCCGTGTCCCCCAGCATTGTATCCGAGGATCCCCCTCCTAGCACGCTCGGCCTTCCAGGTCATGGACGGAATCTAAACCATTTCATCCCATGTGATACGTGGTACGGAATAAAAGCGCGGCAAAGAGAAGGTCGTGCGATGAAGTTGCATCAGGAATCGCTCAGGCGTCGTTCTGGTGCTTGTACCATCAACAAGTTGTGGAGAAGCCGACACCCAACAGATAGCCCAATGGTTAGGGTCAATAGAGCGAGACGGAATCAATGTTCAGAAATGGCCTTATCCCCGCGGGCGAGGGACGATATTCGTCTCTGTTGATGCTTGTCGCGCCCGGCAAGCTATTTCCGTGCGCACCTCTAGGCAGAACCTCGTGAACTCTGCGAGGTCGATGGAACCGTCGCCGTTGGCGTCGAGTTGATCAAACATCTTGGCGGTCTCCTGCGCACGCGCACGACGGAAAGAAACAAGCCGCCGCCCCCAAAACGATCGAATCTTGTTCAGAAAACGCATCCCCACAAAACAACGAGTCGTGTCACTACATGATGCTAAAAGACGAGCACGTACAGATTACCGGCAGAATGATAGAAAATCAATAAATTTTGCGGTACGGAGAGATTTTTCCCAACCCCCACACTCTTTCATGGTTGCGCGTCCGTGGTGCGTGAACAACATCCTTGTTGTTAGGGCTTGAAGTTGGTCGCCATGACCAAAGCACTCGACAACAGTCGTGGTCCCGTACAAACGTACGATCATGCGACATTGCAACGTGTCAATTCTATCCCAGTTGATATTGGTTGGCTGGGGCGCGTTGGGCCGATTATCGGTGAATCACAAACCAGCCCACTGGTGAGGAACAAAAGACCATCGGAATTCTCATGCAAACCCCAACAAAGCCTCGTAATCATTTCGCGTTATCTTCGCCTCGGTGCTGATCTTGAAACCAAGCGTTGTCAAGCCGTGCTGAAAGGAGGCGGACGTGATGAGCCTGTCGCGCATCATGGCTTCCTCCGCCAAAGACGACCTATGCAATTGAGACGAAGTAAAAGCAACGGTATGCTATTGGCATGGGCGGGACTGTCGCATTAACCACGAAAACCTTGCGGATGCATTCAGCTGTTCCGACTGACAAGGCCAAGCACTCTCTCAGAAAAAACATTCGGCTCAGTCCACAGTTGAACCACCCATATGATCGAACCGATGGGCCAAGGCTTTGGCTGCGTCGTCGATAATACTGTCATCGTTGTGGCATCATTACATTTATTATTTATTTTTGATGCCACCACCGCCTGATGGGGAAAAAGACGCCATCACATGAGACTTATTCTACAGGAGTTAGGCGTAGAGATCGGAGCATTGTGGGTCAGACGTTCGCCTGGAGATCACCGACAAAACTATCTTGTGCGTTTGATTCTACAACAGAAAGCAGAAACGGCTTTGTTAGTGATCCGCACGGTTTGAGCACGAACTTGGCTGTGAGAAGGGGTTGCACTTCCGCCACCCCTTCCTCCGGTCCTGCACCAAGGCGAGCCTCACCTCCGAGACATGCTGCTTCTTCTTCGTCCGGACGTCGAAGAATCCCCTTCTTTGGTTGCGGGATCGTCAACCTGGGAAGAGCCTGCGGCTGAAACAACGATGGTCGCACATTGTTCGACCATGATCGCCGAGATTGAGAGGTAGCGTCGCCGGTTCAGGCGGTCTATTCGTGTGTTCTGTCGGCAGGTGCCGCGTAAGCATGGGTGGATCACGGCTAAGCTTGCCACCCTTAGAGTCAATTACATGAGAAATACAGATGCTGCTGCACCGCTGTCGGTCGAGATGTATGCCGTACATAGACTTTGGACGGCGGGCGGTAGACATGTTTTTCTTCGTAGAGGGGAAAATCGCTTACGATTCTAGCAATGGGTTTCTGCCACAGAATGGCAGAATAGACATTTCAGTGGCGGTTGTGGCCAAGGTTTCAGGTCCCTTTCGACCACAACACTCCAACATGGCACCTCCGCAGAGACGTTCATCGGAGCACCTTCAAACGTCCCGGAAGCATAAAACAGAGGCCACGTGAATCGTCTGGACTCATCAACCGGAAGCGCAGTATTCGAAATCGTAGGGGATAGATTCATTTCGTAGACCACGCCAAAAGAGATTTAGGAAGAGAAGGATGAAGGTATGTAGGCCTCCATAAAACATGAACAAGCTCTTTCCGAGGAAAACGAAAAACAAACACATGCCTGTTGGCTGCCACTCTTCCTTACCGGAAGCATTCCTCGATTCATCCCGCGCGGTGTTCATGGATGGGTCTGATGAAGTACGTTTCGAGTTGGCCGTGCTCGGCCGCGCGCCCTTTTTCAGCGACGGCATCTAGAGGGAACGTGGGAGGTGTCGCCGTACACTAGGGGGTGAAAGTGCGCTCAATTGCACGCTGGTTTCGTTTGTAGTTTTGGTGGCAACCGTGGAGGGCTAAGGTGGAAGCCGCGAAAAGCCAGCTTGCACCTTTCAGGCAACGCGCGTATGTCCGAAGCAGGCACGGGCTGCAGCAAACGCAAGCTCGGTGGGCATCAAGACCAGCGCTACCCACCCTCCCCGCGCGTCGGATCCTCCCCCGCCCCGCGCCACACCCATCGAACAACAGGAACCATAAACCACGAGTTCACCGTAGATTTCTCGGTAGAAACGGATATGCGTGTTTCACCCACCAGCTCTGTGGACGCCCTGCTCCGCGCGGCCTTAGCCCTTGTCTTGGAGGATTCTGTGTCCTTGAACAAGCCTCCCGTAGCACCCTCGCGTTTTTCCTGCAGCGGCAGCAACCAATTACGACATCGCGACGAAAACCAAACGTGGCACTCAAGGGGGTGGGTACGGACGGGGATAGATCGAACGGTGAAATTAAACATCAAGAAGGTAGCGTGCCTACGGAACTGCCATGAAGGCCGAATCATCTGTGGGGCAGAAATCGTAATCAGGCAGCGTTCTAGGAGGTTCTTGATGCTTAAATAGGTAAGGCGTTGCGCATTTCACGGGGTGATTGGTCTGGTCACAGACGTGTTTGGTCTGGCGGCCATGGGAGCTGCTTGACGCTGTCCGAGTGCATTCTCATGGCCTTACCGTGGCAAGCATAACTTCTTTTTCAAGCGATGGGTGCGGGTGGCCTACACGCTGACACCTGGATTTTTTCACAACAGACTTTGTCCAGGGCCTGCAAATATCACGCGGGCTTTCCTGCCATGATGCCTAATGTTCAATTACTTGCATCGCCATGAACCCCAACGCTGTACAGGGTTTCGTGAAAACTCACGGCGACAGGTTCCATGGTTTCTCCCGGTGTTTCCAGCGATGAGCTTGCTTTCCGTTCCATGGACTCGCGTTTCCCGTCCTCGGATTGAAGCAGGAAAAAGTAGAAGAGATTGCTGACACCCAGCCCCTGGGCGCGGTGAAGGGATGCGCCATGCGGATAATACGTTGGGATATGGTTGGGGGGGTTCGCTGAATGTGACACGGGCATTTTCTCTGTCTCTCTCTCTCTCCCATGCTGCTGTACGGTACGTAACACATTCTCGTGTAATAATAGAAAAGGGTAAGCACCGCAGGCAGCAAGACGGGGAGTCCCTCCTGTGGGACCTCGGCTGGTGCGTCAAACACACACAGAAAGGTGTAGACTGGCGCCCATACAGAACAAATCAAAACCTAACGGAAGATTATCTTCGACGCGGAGGTCTGGCTGGTTGTCCGTATTCATATTTTAGAGACGGGCGTAACCCTGTTCCACTACATCAATACTGTACAATAGCGGAAAAAAACTAGAACCTGGGAGTTGTGAGATAAGTAGATATGTTGTAGCGTGTTGAAAAAAGGTCAAGGGAGATCCCCGGCTCTTGAAGCGGAAGCCTCCTGGAGGCGCTCACCTTCTCTTTGGCCTCGGTCATGATTGTTTGGAGCTTTTCGATCCCTGTCGTCTGAAGCCCCATCCTCACGTCTCGTGCGACGTCCTCCAGTGTGTTGATCAGGCTGTCCTTCATATGCGTGTTGACACTCAACCGCTGATGCCCAGGGCGGTAGAAACATGTTCCGGCGTGGTGGTGGGCAACAGACGTGTATCTATTATTTGTATGGACGAACGCCCGTGACAGAACCGCCTTCGCGGGAAATTAAGTCCAAGTGCTTTTATAACGAAATAGAACAGGGAGGGGGGACGCAGACCCTATTCCCTAACCCAAACCCTACTGCGGTGGCAACACACAACGTGTTTGTCTAGACGGAACATTTTTTTCGAGGCGCGACAGAACCTCCCCTCCAGCCTCCTCCTGTATTGTTGTATACTTCATGGTTCCTATGTGCAACAGCTCTTCGGAGAACAAGCGGTCTAGGCTGATCTTCCTTGCCCGAGCCCTGCTGCTGTAGTACTTCATCTACTTCAGTAGGAAATAGACGAGGCGACATGAGCCCATATCGTATCGGCACATGCACGTAGTGTTGTATGCATAGCGGGCGTTGGGTTGACGATGATATTATTTGTGTGTTGGTGTGCTTTTTCCCAGAGATTCTCGACCCCAGTCTATACCTCTCGGCATACGTTTGATGCACCAACAGAGGTCACAGAGGAGCAGGGTAATCAAAGCTTGTTTTCTCCTTCTTTGCCGTGTACCTAAAATATGCCATGTAAGACTAGAGCAGTAGGCACAGAAGGTTCAAAGACCAAAATGACGCTAGCCCCCAAGTTGTACACAATTACAACACTCAGCAATACGCATCCACCTCATCATCAGCTCCAACACAATGCGACGAACATTCTGTACTGTAGTATGTAGTTCGGGTCATCTCCTAACCTTGAGTCCGATACTCCGCCGCTGGTTGCGGGCTTGCAGTGCTGCCGCGCTCGTCGTTGAATCTCCCCCCTGTGGCAAGAGCAAGGATTCGCTTTTGCTCGCACTGTCACGCCCCCCTGCCGACGGACGCTTGTGGCTCTCTCTAGAGCTTGCTCTAGCTGAAGCTCGCCTCGCTCTACCCTCGGAGTCGCGCCTCTCCTGGGCGGACTCGCGGCGCGAGGCGGGCTCGACAGAAGGGTTTATCATCCTGCCTCCTGTGGCGCACGCCGACGCCTTTCGTGGAGCCATGCTATGACGTTGAGCTTGTGCTCTCCTCAGTTATTCTCGATATCGAAACGCTTCTCGCTGTCGGCCGTGCCCCTCACCGGGGCTTGCCGCTCACCCTCTGATTGTTCCCCTGCGATATGAGACGGCGACCCGGTCTTGCAGTATCTTCGCGACTTCTCGGCGAATAAAAAAACAACACACCAAACACCTCACGACGGGCCGGCTTTCCTTTGATAGACGCGGCGGAAATACTTCAGCTCGCTTCCCGGTGCTTCTTATCCTTCACCTCTTGCAACATCACGTGTGCGAGCGTGCGGCGAGGTCTTTGTGGAACGCCACAGTGCCCACTTGTGTGTACTTGTGTGAGTGTGTTTCGTACGAAAAATTTGAGGCTTGCGCAACCCTCTCCACAAGATCTCGCCGCACCTCATGCCGAACAGGAACCTGCTTGGGTTCTGTTTATCTCTTTCCCCGGAGTATTTGAGGTGGGACGCATCACGGTTATTTCGGTCCGTCTCATCGGATTTTCCTCTCACGCCTTCGGCGCTGCTGCTGCTGCTGCTGCTGCTGCTACCCATTTTTCGGCACATCCCCTGCTGTGGCCACCTTCGTCTACGTTGCCGACAAGGGAAAACTTCGTGGTGAAGACAGCGGAAGCGGTGCATGTGCAGGTATGCTTCGCGGTGGGCGTGTGTCCTGGCGCTTGCCATCTCCACCGGAGCTCAGCCTCCACAGTGCACACGGCCAAGGCGAAGAGCGGCTGGGACGGTGCCCATTTCAGACTGCGCGGGGCTGGAGGCGTTGCCGTCGCTGATAACGCAGGATCTTCACCTCTCATTTGACGTTGGAGCTATCGTGTGTGAGAAGGTGCGGAAGTTTGAGCGCCGAAAGACGTCCGCGGGCAACCTATAATAGCGTGAGAGGAGAAGGGAATATTTTCGGAGAGAGGACTCTGATTTCTCGCAGTACATGTAGTCTATGGAGACACCGAGAGCACCAGGGCTAACCTAACGAATGCGAAACATTTTTTGTACGGTGGTAGCAAAGTAGAAGCGGAACACCATATGTACCCAACCCGCGCAGCCAGAGTCTCTCTTTTCTTCCCATCAGAGAGGGGTGGTGGGGGCAGGCTGCCTTCCCATTGCAATTGCACATCGTGAGGGACATCAACTTGTACTGCTGTAGTGGGAGACGGGGAGAGATGGGAGAGAACTCTAAGCAAGGGAAAGAGTATGCGTATATTCGAAGTACACTACTATTTGGAATGCATGCATCGCATACAGCAGTACTACATTTGCGGGCAGCAATCGCAATAGAGGGAGAAAAATTGCCACGAAAACAGATCGCATTGCCAGCAGCTAAATCACGCAATTCCTCTTTCTTTACCCGGAACCCCAGTGCTCATTTTCCACACGGTTGAACTTTCACAGCAGTCAAATGGGGAAAATTGGGAGCATTGACTGGCGCACGGAAAAAATTCGAACAAGAATGTCCCTGCCCGTTACAGGCTATCTCTGTGCGGACGTGTGATGAAGCATATCGTGCACGGTAAACCAAAAAACAATCTGCCCATCCATAGATAGCGTGTAGATACAGCAATAGTGTGACAATTACTTCAGTTTCTGTTGTAAGCGAGAGATAAAGGAGGGGACAGCGTGTGCAATAAGAAACTTTCATGTAGTGAGAATTTTGGTTGACGGTACTGTACGGCTGTATCAAATATTCATGTTTATCCTGGGGCGGGGGAACAAAACCACTCCCCCTTGCTTCGCTGTCGGTCAGTTCGGGTGTTGGGTGTTGTCGCTTGTTCCGGAGAAAACGAGCTGCATACCTACTGCTGTGCTTCTCCCCACGTGGCCAACCCCTCTCAATGGTCTTACCGGCATGATTACACTCGTTGTTTAGGCCCAAGCTTCGCCGCCGTCATCTACAGGTAGAGCCCGCTCTTCCTTAGCACTATGTATGTACATTCCTCTAGGCTTTTGCCGAGGTTCTCACAAGAGTTCGTTCCATGGTGGGCTACAAATGACCGCTATATGCGTGTAGGTTTTACAGACTGTAGGGGTTCTTGACCGGGCCCACGATCATGCTCGAGTTCTTTCAAACTGTCTGTATCTATGTTTTGGACCCACTTTTTGTTTTTCTCAATGTTGACTGAGTTTGTGTTGTGTGCGTAGCTGTTGGTTTGGAACTGAGCAAAAACGAATCTACAGCAGCCCGGTTCGAACCAGGAACCAGCAGTTTCGAAAGGATGCGTTGCATCGTTGCATCCATCGTGGGAAATAGTCTCCATCCATTGGTGTAAATGTTCTCCTCCGCCGCCCCGCCTACGCACCTCACTACAGGTTCCTCGGGATGTATCCTGGAAGCCTTGAGATTGTGTGAATGTGTAGAAATTCAAACTGTCTGTATCTATGTTTTGGACCCACTTTTTGTTTTTCTCTGTGTTGACTATATTTGTGTTGTTGTTGTTTGTTGTTGTTGTTTCTCACATTAGCTCTAAGAAAAAAAAGATTGGGAGCCCGTGGTCTCAAAACCCGGCATACACGACCCCACGAAGAAACAGAAGAAAAATAGGGTACAAAAACCACTCGGAAGAGAAACAAAATGATAGAAAGAAAGACCAGCTACCGCACCAAACGAGAAAGAGCGTCGAGGAGACCGATCAAAATAAAATAAAAGGAGAACGGGGAACGCTTCCCACACCCGCACGTGTTGAGTACCAGTTCGGTTGCAGAGATCTACGCAGAGGTTGAGTTCAGCATGTGTGNTTGTGTGCGTAGCTGTTGGTTTGGAACTGATCAAAAACGAATCTACGGCAGCCCGGTTCGAACCAGGAACCAGCAGTTTCGAAAGGATGCGTTGCATCGTTGCATCCATCGTGGGAAATAGTCTCCATCCATTGGTGTANGTATCGTCCAAGTTGTGTGCGTAGCTGTTGGTTTGGAACTGATCAAAAACGAATCTACGGCAGCCCGGTTCGAACCAGGAACCAGCAGTTTCGAAAGGATGCGTTGCATCGTCGCATCCATCGTGGAAAATAGTCTCCATCCATTGGTGTAAATGTTCTCCTCCGCCGCCCCGCTTACGCACCTCACTACAGGTTCCTCGGGATGTATGCTGGAGGCCTTGAGGTTGTGTGAATGTGTAGGAAGTTTCGTAACAGGTTGCCGTCAACCAATAATATCCTCGCGCGGCTTGGTGCTTCCCGAAAGGAATAGCCTTCACAAGCATTTTGCATTTTCAACCGCGCGAAGAGAATGGCGTCTTGTCACCGGTCAGCCGGTTAGCGCGGTCGACGCCACACACAACAAGTGACATACCCACACACACATCTGGGGTTCAACCTGTGGAGTTTGCAGGGACCATTTTCTATTTCCTGCTGTTTAGTGTGTTGACCAATAATATACTCGCGCGGCGTGGTGCTTCCCGAAAGGAATACGGAGTATATCCATTATACAAAGATACATGTTGTAGTGCTGTCGATGACTGGAATAATGGATTGACTTTGTGCTCCTTCGGATGGCACGGGAAAGTTATGCTCCATGTCTCCCGCGCTATTATACATACATCATGAAGCACGTGGCAGGGGTTGTGCCGGAGCAGGGCGCGGCGGCTCGAGATGCTGCAGCTAAGAAGAAAGACACGCGCACTGACAGACTGACAACCAAACCGAGCCACCATCCGGCGGACAGACAGACAGAACGCCCCAATAACTTAGCATGTCGATTCCCAACCAAATCCCCTTTTTGGTCTAACGCTCCCTCGTCCGGGCGACCTACAATTATACCACTGTAAATGTACATCGCTCCACACTTCTCGCGATTTGAGCGGTCGAAATCCGCTGCTGTTCGCGTCGGTCGCATGTATGTACGAAGTGCCAGGTAGAATTGACTCTGAGAACGAATGCGAAGCGAACGGGATGGCTGATAAGCAGCTGTTGTCTGTGCTGAGAGAAGGTGCTTCGGCTCGTTCGATGTGTCGGTACTCCAGTAGCCTTCCCACGATTTTTCCACTCATGAAACCTGTTGGATAAAGCATGCAATCGGGGAAGTTGGGTTAGGGCTAGGGCCAGGGGATAGAGCCGGCGCCCCCCCTCCCTATTCTATTTCCTCATACACTTATCACTATCGCGAGGGCGGTCCCAGTACTTGGTGCTTGCTTGACCCCCAGGTGATATTTGCGTGGTGGGGATGTTTCTTTGATCGGTGTCGATGTACACGGCGGTGTTTATAGCTCGTCGCCTCCGAGGGGAAATGCACGGGGAGCGTGCTTGCCATTCCAAAGTTTCGGAGTCTCCCGTCGAACCTCTACTCATCGCTGCGAATTTGACCCGCAGGGTTGGTAGCTGTCGGACTCGAACACTGGTCCTTCTTACGGTCGTTCGGCGCTGGCTTGCAGAACGCTAAACAGATGTGGTAGAAGGACAGATAGGGTAGAAGCGCTGCACCACGTCGCCAGCCTGTGACCACCCGAGCACACAACCCACCGCCCCTATTGCGAATGCGCGGGCCCCCGTTCCAATGGAAACAACTGCAAGTGCAACGAAACCCAAGCAACGAAAGCAGCAGTTCTGTGAATTTAAATGGTTCTTGTTCTTTTCTGGTCGCGGCTTTGCTTGCTGTGCCGGCAGCTCGTCACGCTAACAGTCGGCGGTGGCATCGAGCTAGCGATCCACGTCAGCCCCGGCAGCACAAGCGAAGGGTTAGGTGGAGGCGAAGGCGAAGACGAAGGGTGCAGGGATCCCCCCGTGTCGGGATTGAGACTCCGCAACGTCCGCGTCGGCGTGAAGAGCGGCGCGATGCTCAGCGTCGGGGTGGCCGGCGATATTTCGTCGGACGGCATGGGATACGCGGGGCCTGGCGAAGGCACTAGCGCCCTGACGCTAGAGGGCGTGGCACCACAGGTGCGTTCTACCACATTGTGCTTGCATAGTACTGCAATTTGTATTCCCAATCCAATCGGCGGGGGTGGCGTTACACACAAATCACCCCATCTCCTGTCAATCATCGGCAACTTCAGGAGGGAAAATCGAAAATCGTGTCCCTTGTGTGGCCCATGTATCACGTGGCGGTTGTTTGTTTGTCTGAATCTCGTTCGGGCCTCTATCCCACCATCCGGAACCGACGAGCCTGGTAACCTTGTACGGTCTCAAGAACTACAATGTATAAAGGCCCGAATTCCCCGGGTCTGGATTCCCTTGTACGGGGTCAAGAGCTGTTTCAACATCCCAGGTACATTGCGGTGGTAGCGCAAAAATCCATTCCGAATCCTATGTGGTACAAGTAACCCTTGAAGATTGTCTTCCATGATTCTCACGCACGCCGGGCTGCCATGTTTCGTAAGTTCCATCCAGACCGCTCATGATGACCTGTTGGACGAATGGAGATTGAGCCCAGCGCCGACATCGAAACCTAGGTTCGCATGATCACGTCACGCCCTCCCCACCCAAACCTTTCACGTAGGATTCGAATGGAGGCGCACTGGAGGTGGAGGAGGGGGGCGCGGCTGTGTTTCTGGTTCCGGTTCACTTCGAGGGGAACTCGGTCCAAAACGGTTACTCCGGCGGGGCGTTCCACACGGACGGAGAGGTACATACCATATCTGCCATCTGTCTGCCGTGTTTGCCCGCTTTCCGTTCTGTTCTCACAGCCCCGGAGAGCCGTTAAGACATGTTTTGTGGCTGTATCCCACTGCCAAGGAGCGTAGGGATCTGCTGAGTGCGTGGAGGCGGGGTGTGATCATCTGGTTTGGCGAGACTGCCCTGCTATTGAAATGTGCGATAAGTAGAAGAGAGGGTTCTGAACGGCCCAGCGCGGGAAGTGTCGCATGGGTCTCAGTCGATCAGCTCGCAAATCTGACGTCGTGCAGCGGTCGACACCTTCTCAAATCCCCGTTTCATGAGTATCTGGACCACTCAGAACGTTCCGCGGAACTCGAGCCAGAACTGCTGTGACTTCGTTGCCGCGCTTGCTGCACGAGCGCCCCCTGCCCTGTACATTGTAAGGTTGCCAATGATGTCTATCCGACGCGTTCCCCCCCTCCGGTGGATTCGTCTGCCGCAGGTCACCTTCGAAAACGCCGCGCATTTCGTGGGAAACCGCGCTCTCGGGCAGGGGTCTCGGGGCCAGGAAGCACATTCGTGCGGGGGGGGGGTGTCCGTCGGGGGCACCGGCAGAGTAGAGTTCTCGGAATTGGCGAGCTTTGAGGAAAATTCGGCGTGGAGAGGAGGCGCTCTGTGCAACCGGGGGTGGGCAAAGTTCTTCCGAAGAAGCTTCTTCAATGGCAACCAAGCGTCTGGAGGTACATCGCGATTGTATTTTCGGTGTCGCGCTTGCCGACCTGAACGACCTGAACGACCTGAACGACCTGAACGACCTGAACGACCTGAACGACCTGAACGACCTGAACGACCTGAACGTTGTTTGTTGGTGGTGGTGTTGTGGTTGTTGAGCCACCACCAACAAATGTTTTGAGGTGGAACAAGCTTTCGTTCGAAACGCGGGAACGTCAGCCCCCACTACCTTCGAGGGTTCTATGTACGAGGTCCGATTTGGCAACGTCGTTGTTGAGGGAAAGGAATCGTTCTAGGCCCTAGTGGCGATGACTTGAAAGGAGGCGCGGCGGAGGAGAGGTAATAGACTTTTTTCGTGACCACAGCATTTAGTTACCAGAGCGAGCACACACTACCGAACAGACATGCGGAGGAAAAACGGGTAAATTGGATGAGAACCGGTCACATTTTGTTGGTCTACTTTCTTCTAGGTGGCCTCTGTGGCAGCGATCTTGGTTCTTCTCTGACTGTCCCTCGCCCTCCTAACCCCCCCCCCCAAGCCCCCTCTCGGTTATCGCACTCGCTGAAACCAAGTGCCCTGCTCCATGCTGTTTTCGTCACGATTTTCCTGTAGGCGCTTCGACATGGGTAGGTGGGGACGGGGGTGCCGTGTTTACCGAGGAGGGTAGCATCACGATTTTTACGAGAAGGTCGACCATGATCTGGAACTGGGCGGCCGGCAGCGGGGGCTCCGTGTATAACGCGGGGGTATCGACTTTCCAAACCTCGGCTGCTTTTCGGGGCAACACGGCGGCGGCAGCGGTGACGACGAAGACGGCGCGTGCTGGTTTATCGGGGTCCAGAGCACAATTATAGCGCGGCGATTTGAGTGGTGTTGGAATGGGTGGGCGGGGTTTCCAACCTAACGACGGCGTTTAGCGTTCGTTTTTTTGTTGTCTGTTCTCGTATTGGCGGGAGGGCGGGTTTCCCTTGGAGTCCGTGGGTATTCGTCGTCGTCTGTGAGCTGTCCGGGCACCCGTATTACACTATTACGGTTACGCCATCAATGCGTTCGAGAGGCATGCCAGTTTGTTGTATTGGGTGTTGTAGTAGTATTTCGATTTGGGGCAGTATCACGCTATCATGTCATTTTGCTGACCTCGGTGTTGCCACGGCCTATCACTGATGTTTGCCTCTCCCCTACTGAATGCGTCAATACATTTTGTCTTGTGGACAGCATCAACATCAATATCAACATCAACATCAGCATCAACAATACCTTCCTCGTTTGCAGGCGTGTATTTATATATATTATGTGTCACTTCTACTGGAACTAACTTTTCCGTCGTCCTCTGGCCGTCCGATCGATCAATCCATCGATCCATCCACAGGGGAGTTCCGAGAGCGTGGAAGCAGCGTTGCCGCCATCGCCGCCAGAGACAGAGACAGGGGGGGGACACTTGTTCAACCGCGGGTACTTGAAGATCATGGGTGATGCCTCCTTCATCGACGGTGTCAGCGCCACCGATGTAAGATGGTGCTTCTTCCCTGTTCCCCCGAGGCCCCTCGGTAGCGTTGGATAGCTCCTCTCAAGCCTAGGATGCACAGTTTTCGTCTGTATCGTGTTTTGAGCGGAGGATTGCTGGTGTTGCATGCACGATTCCCCGGTCTGTCATCGGCTTCGTCGGCTCCATGATGATTGGCTACTTTGGCGGACAGCATTCTTTCTTTTTTTTTTTCGTACCGTTAGGCCGGTTATGCGGTACGGTATACGGTATGGTACTTTAATTGAGGAGGCTGTAGACCATCACGTCACCATACTTTTGCTCTAAACCATGTGTAAGAGGGGTGCGTTGGAGATGTGATGTTTTCGGTTTCTAAACAATACGCATACTCTTGGCGTTGGTCTTGTGTTCTTTTTTGTCAACGCCGGCTGATTAAGTCAGTTGTTTTGAATCGCTGCACTCGACCCTATCGCTAGGCACTCCATGAAGCCTTTGTCTTGCTTGGTTGATACAGGGCGGAGCGAGAGCATGGCTGGTCGGCCTCTCACTCTTGAAACCGTTTTGTCTTGAGAACAGCATAAAAAAAAAGCGCCGCCGACTCGTGGAAGAAAGCGACTATTCGAATATTTAGCATTGGATTGATATTCGCTTCATGATTATACTTACAGCTGATCGAGGTTTCGTTGTGCCCCTTGGACTCACCACAGACCGCGTTGTGTTTTTGCGTTCGGGTCAACGCGGTCTTCCCCGGCTCGAAAATAGCCAATCAATGATAACCGATTGTGGCGCAGCGAGGTCGCCCTCTCGCGTCCTCCTTCACCAATGCGCATCTGGCCTTTCCCAGCGACAACCTTACCTTGCCTTTGTGCGGGTAATTCATTGTTGAACAGGGTGGCGCCTTGTACACTGTCTCCGGAGAAGACACGATCCTTGGCGGGATAACTTCTTTCCACGGCAACTCGGCGGTAAGGATGGGGCGAAGCCACGCCGCCGGCATGATAACCGGCGCGACAACAGTCACAAACACCGCAAGTACTAGCAGCAGTAGCTGCAGCGAAAAAGACCCAGCCGTCTCATTTTGCCTACCCCCCCCCCCCCCCCCCCCCCCCCCCCCCCCCCCCCCCCCCCCCCCCCCCC